GAATCCCCTCACTGATTACACTGTAAATGATAATCTACCTTAACCAAAATCAAAGTAGACTATCACTCACCCACACCAGATGGAAAACTCTACAGACTGTCGGTATATATATATATATTAAACGAGAAGCCTCGGAAGAAACAGTAGAGTTCAGCGGGTCAAACAGAGCTGCGCGGTAAACCGTAGGCAGAGAGGGAGAACAGGACAACAAACGAGGGGCTTTGACATATATATATATAGAGAGAGAGAGAGAGGGAGAGAGAGGGAGAGAGAGAGGGAGAGAGAGATGCCTGTGTGCGTGTGAGAGAGAGAGAGAGAGGGGGGGGGAAGTGGGGATGGGATCACTTGCGCAGATGCGTCTTTCCTCCCGCTCCGAGTACAGATCATAAGTATAAATATATATATCTATATATATCGTCACAAACAGAACTGCCCGGTAAACCGTAGGCAGAGAGAGAGAAGAGGACGACAAACGAGGGGCTATTGTCACATGATATCAGAGCGCCAAAGCGAAAAAGAAAAAAAGAAAAACTTAATTCGTTTTTAATCTTCTTCCTTACAACTCTCCCCCTGTTCATAAAGAACCGCTTTTGCGTACAAGGCCGCCCACGTGGATGTAGGTTGAGCGGCGGCTGCCCCCACCCCCGTGTGTCATATCGACCCACTTGCACACAGCCAAAAGGCAAAGAGGCAAAGAAGAGAGGAAGGGAACAGCCAAATAAAACAGAACAGGGGGCAACAAAACAGATCCCAGATGACAAGTCCCACATGCAAGCACCGGCCCAGTCCTACACAGGCCAAACGACGGGACAAGACCAACCAGGATGTCAAAACATTCTTGTCTGCAAAGAAATTAAAAAAAGTACCAAAAATAACCCATTCCCGATGACGATTCCCACATACAAGCACCGCCCCATATATATTATATATTTATATATATTCCCTCCCGCTCCGAGTACAGATCATAAGTATAAAATGGAACGGTTGGGGAGAGGACAACAAACGAGGGGCTGTGACAAATTGTATATATCGTATATATATCGTCAAATAGAACTGCCCGGTAAACCGTAGGCAGAGAGGGAGAAGAGGACAACAAACGAATATATATATATTTATATATATATCCTCCCCAACCGTTCTACTTCCGCTGCTGCTCCTCCGCTTCTCCTGTCCACCATCATCAACGCATTGACTAATTAGCTTGCCCAGTGGATTGGCGCGCAATGGTACCCATCCTTCCTACCTCACCGAACCACTACCACCATAGACAGGAAGAACGGTAGTTTCGCGCCAATCGATTACCACTGGCGCCAAAATCCACTACTGCTGGCGCCAAAACCCACTGCCACTGCCGCCAAAATCCACGACGACTGGCCCCGGCCACTGGCGCTCAAATCCCCTATTACTGGCCCCGGCCATTGGCGCCAATCCGCTGGCGCCAAAATCCACTGTTACTGGCGCCAATCCGGTGCCGCCAATCTACTGCCACTGGCGCCGATCCGCTGGCGGCGCCAATTGTCTGCTAACCCCCTTCCACCATATGGTCGTTTTTTTTTTTTTTTTTTTTTTTTTAAACGAAAATGTCGGCCAGGGTTGGGGGTGTTCAGGGGGGAGGGAAAGAAAAAAAGGAAGGGAAAAACGCAAAAAAATTGAAAAAAAAAAAAAAGGGTTGGTGATCTTCTCCATTAAGCAACAATCGTTACTCGATCGATCGATCTAGGGATCGAGCCCACAATTTCGATCTTTGTGCGGCGGAAGCACAAGGGAGAGGGGTTTTGAAGCATCATAGCAGGTGGGGGGTTTTCAACCTTCACCCCCATGTGGGGGGGGGGGGGAACCACTACCGTCTTCACCCGAATAAAACGCCCGGTCATCATTGCTGCATCTGGTCGGAAAGTTGCCCCAGATACAGCTGTAATGACCGGGCGTTGTATTCAGGTGAAGACGGTAGGAGGGGTGGTTTGTTCAAGCTGTAGACCAACGAAGGACTCCCTCCTCAGTTTGGTTTGTTTTCTCCTTCCCAAAAAAAAAAAAAAAAAAAAAAAAAGAAGAATAACGCGTTTGGTTTGTTTTTTCCTTCACACACACACACAAAAAAAAAAAAGAGGGGTAGGGGCATTCATTATCAACGGACGGACTACCGTAGGAGGGAACGAACGGGCTGATGGGTGGATTTAATTGGCAGGACCGGGCAGATGAATGAGGTAATCAGGGTCCAATCAATAGACGGAAGCCATAAAGTCATCATCGGCTGCCAGCACAAGGTAATCAGGGTCCAATCAATAGACGGAAGCCATCAAGTCATCATCGGCTGCCAGCACAAGGTCGGGATCCTGACTCAGCCAAACCGATCGAACGGGTGTGTTCCCTTCTATCACGTCGTACAGGCGAGAGCATCCTTCCCATGTACACAAACAGGATACACGAGCTTCTGCCTAGACGAGCCACCTTCTGTGCTCAGGGGGGCAGGCACGACGCATCTGCGCAAGTGATCCGATCCCCTGTCCTCTCTCTCTCTCTCTCTCTCTCTCTCTCTCTCCTGTCTCTTATACACATCTAGAT